AAAAAAAAAAAAAAAAAAGAGAATGGAAGAAAAAGTATCCAATGTACACACCTCTATTATGAAAATAATTTATACCTTTTATATGTAAGCTATAACCTAATAACAGCCTAAGAATATGGGGAGGGGGGAGGAAGAGGGGAGGAGGGATGGGTGGAGGGAGGGGGATTGGAGGGATCACTTCTGAGGTTTATCTTACAAGGGTACAAGTGAGTCTAAGAGCAGAATGTGAACGTTTTAAAATAATAACTAAGAAAATGACAAAAAAAAAAAAAGAAGAAGAAGAAGCTGTGCTAGCAACTCATCAAACTGAGAGGAGAGAGTTTGCTCACAGGAGTGAGGCTGCGAAATGATTGGATTCCATGTACATTTGGAGAGGAGGGAAGGAAAGCTGAGATTTCAAGTAGTTAGATGAGATTATAGGGAAGGTCTTGAATCCCTAAGTGTGGACATTCTGCTAGACAGTGGGGTTCTGTGGCCACAGATCTTGTCAAGTGAAGATGAGTCTGGCATCAAGCAGGGAGAAAAATAATTCAATAGTTGATGTTCTGAGTAAGAAGAGGCTAAACCACCTGGGTGTGGTCAGGAACATGGAGAAGAGACAGACACTAGAGGTTTTCAGGATGAAAAAAAAAAAAAAACAGGGTTGGCCACTAACTGGGTATGTTAAGAAGAGGAAGAGTCAAAATTGACTTGGAGGTTTCAGGCCTGTATGTCAGGTCCAGGGTGTTGACAGCAGGGGTCCAACTAAAGTTAAGAAGTCAGGAGGGAGCGGAGAAGTTGGCCCATCACATCCAACATCCAGGAGGAAGTCCAGGCATGGTCGCCCAGCAGAGGCTCAGAAGTGTGAGCCAGGCTAGTGAGGGTAGAATTGGATTTAAGGGTTGCCTGCACCAGAGTGGTGGTTGAAGTCCAAGGAGAAAGTAAAATTGCCAAGAAAATGAAAGAGGAGCTAAAGGAGCAGAGAGCCCTCAGGGAGCTGCCGGATTTCAGAGAGCACAGAAAGCAAGAGGAGGATGGAGGAACGGTGTGAGGGGCTGTAAGAGGATCAGACAGGAGCCACCCAGAGGCCCGCCCTGCCCTGGTGTCCATGCCATCCTCATGCACATGCCCTGGGGTGTCTGCTTGTTCCCACATTGGCATCTTTGTGTGTTACCTACCATTATTCCCAGGTGGGGACATAACAGGGATCCAGGGACTGTGCTTTGGGTGAATGAACATACAGTAGAACCTTGATAGCTGCCTACCTCCCTACACTGACCACCTCCTTAGGTTGACCTGATTTTGTAGACCACCTCCATATGTTGACCAGTTGTTATAGTCCCTTGGGTGGTCAACTCACAGAGGTTCTGCTGTATTTCAAACAACTGAAGACAGACTGGCTCTACACGAAGGCAGATGCTACAGAGTGAAAGGTCAAAGTTGAGGATGGAGAAGTGGTCACTTGTATGATGACCAGAGGCTTGATTGTTACTGGGAGTCTTAAGGAGGGGCAAAATTCTGGGGGTCAAATCCAGGACTCAGATAATTGAAGACTAATATTTCCCACTTCTGGGAAAAATAGCCACACTGCCCATGGCCGTCCTGGGCCCTCCAGCACACAGGTGTCAGTGCTAAAGCTTTTCTATCTACGTTGTCCATGTTTCCCAGGAACTGTCTAGACCAAAAGGAACTGGGGCTTTCCCTGCTGGTTCCGTTCCATCCTGTATCTTCAATTATGTTACACAGCATCAACACCCCTTTGGTCACACATACCCTGACACAGCCAATGACACAACACTCACATCAACAGATGCTAACCAGAAACTTCGAGGCTGCTTTGAAAGTTCAGAAATGGTAGATAAGAATTCCTAGTGTAGATCCGAGCTAAGGATCACCAGGATGATGCTGGGAGACTTCAGAGCATTTATTGCATGGAATTTCCTCGGGTTTGGTCATCTTGTTCCCTTGGAACACCCCTAAGTACAATTGCTAATGCTTCTCCAACACTCAGAATTGATTACTTCAATTGTATCCTCGGGCACCCTCTAATTTGACAAAAATCCCAGTCCCTGCCAAGAACATTACAGTCCCTGCTCGTACAGACTGTAGATTTACCGCTGTTCAGATGTGGATGCCCCTGCCTTGGTGCATCCCGATGTAGACAGCACCTAAGATAACGTCTGACAGGGCAGACAGAGCCCAGAACCTGTGTTGGCCCTGGGACCTGCGGGATGAACAGAAAGGGCAACCCTGGGTTTGTCCCTGTCTGTACCTGACCCAAAAAGTGCTCTTCAGTGGGGCTGGGGGAAGCTGTCTGGACAAGTGGAATGGTTACTTAGAGCACCCAGGAGCTGTCTAATCAGGAAACCCTGATGGAGGTATGGGATGGTGAAGCAGGAATGAAGCCAGAGACTCACTACTGCTGAGCGAGGGTGTGGTTTTAAAGTAAGAGGAAGCCAGTAGAGGGAACATGTAGAGTTGAGAGGACCTGGAAGAGATGGGATGGCCCAGGAAGGCCCAGGCGGGCTGAGCAGGTGATGGCTCCTGTCATTTCATACTGAGCAGCTTTACAGCAGCCAGCTAGCAGCCCAGGTCAGGAATCCAGGCAGCCCCTACAGCCAGCTCTCGTTTCCAGGTGCCTTGGCACAGCCAGTGGCCCCTCCAGGTCACAGTTAGGTGCTCTGCCCTGGCAAAGTATCACAGTTGGTTGCCACCTGTGTCTTGGATGTGTCACCCAACTCTCTGCAGCTGCCATTTAATCTGTTCCTCTCCATTTATTCCTTGCCTGGCCTCCTCTGGCCTCTAAAACCTCCAAGTTTTTCCTTCTGTCTGTTTTCATGCTAACTTTGAGCAAGTTCAATCTTCTTTTTTTCAGTTTTCATAGTGGTCATCTTCAGACTAAATTTACTTGGTTCTTATAATATCTTAAAGGCTTTATAGAGCTATGTCCAGTTCTACTCTATTTTTAGACACACAGTAGTAATTTCTCATTAAATCTTTCCCAAAGAAATGAAAGGACCTTAAGATATGAGATTTAGGTCCTAAGAGTCCCCAAGTATAGGTCTATTAACTACAAAGAACATTCCTCTGTTCCTTGTGCTCTAGTGCCATGGTTCCCATGCCCTTGTGTGTGACCCCAGGCCAGTAGCATCAGCAGTGGTGGGGACTTATTAGAAATGCAAATTCTCAGGCACTCTCAGATCTCCTGGATCAGGAACTCAGTGTATTTTAGTAAACTGAAGGCTCAATTTTGAGACCCACTGCCATAAGGAAGCAGAAGATTCTGATCATGCTGGAGAGCCCTGGGCTGGGTATTTGCCTCCAGGGACCTGAGTTCAGCCACCTCTGCTCAAATCCTGCCTGCAGGTGGGAGTGGGTGTGAAAGGAACACACTGCTTGTTCCCATCCAGGTGTCACAGCAAAAAGATAAATCACCTCTTCTTGGCTCACTGTGGCTCCCGATTTCCGACTGTAGAATGCTTTGTAGGCTATAGCAATAATACCTAATGTCGGGGCAGAGCAGTGGGGAAAAAGCCAGTTTTTGTTCTGGAAGTATTCACTTCAGGGAGAAAAACATGGAGGACATTTAAGCAAGTTAATAAATAAACACTTGCTGTTTACTATAACATAAACTTATTTTATAAGGTACAAAATTCTCATGCTTTTTTTTAAAGAAAAAATAAGTATTGGGCAGCACCTGTGGCTCAGTGAGTAGGGTGCCAGCCCCATATACTGAGGGTGGTAGGTTTGAACCCAGCCCCAGCCAAACTGCAACAAAAAATAGCTGGGCATCATGGCGGGTGCCTATAGTCCCAGCTACTCAGGAGGCTGAGGCAAGAGAATCACCTAAGCCCAAGAGCTGGAGGTTGCT